TCTTCAGAAAAACATATATTTGTTAACTTACAGCATTCATTCAGGAAGTCTGCATTAACCTTAATGCACTTGACAGCAGAACAAAGAAAAGGGAGACAATGGTAAAGGATGTGTTGTTGAAATTTAGGCCAGACACAGAATATCTAACCCTACATCTGCTCTGCAGGACTGAGTAATGCAATAAACTGTCTTTTCATTTTAGATTCTGAATTCAATCCAGACAAGGGCTTGAGTGCATCAATGCCATAGTGCCAATTTTTTCCATAGCTAGTAATGACATTCTCCCAACTTCCATTTCAGCACCAATGGAACTGGGAAACCCAGTGATGTGAAACCTTGGATATAAACCAAGATTTTGAAACGCTGATCCTGCACATAGGATATCTTCCAGTGATTCTGGAGTCTGCTGGGCCTCTGCAGGAGCAATACCAGCAGAGTGCCATTCCCCATCCTGTACCCCTGCACATCTTCCCTTTCCAGATCAATTCCCTTTGTGAATGCCTTAATTCCCCTCCATCACACACCGATTGTGCACTCCACAACCCAAGCACTTGTTGCATAACTGTCTGCTAGTTCTTAATCACATCAGTGTGAAGTTTTTAACCTACCAGCTTTGCCAAAAAAAGACATATACATAACTGAAGCTGTTCATTCCTTCACATTCTTCTTAAAATGTGGTGCCAACTGGTTCAAATTTATCATGCCTTTAAGGATTCCATGTGCTGTGTGTACAAGAACCAGGATACTCAATATGCTGTTCCAAACTTCATATGCTCTAAACCAGCAGCTGTAAGTCTCAAGGGATGCAGCAGCAGAGGGACCATGGTGTGTACAGATCATAAAATTGAGAGAGCAGTTAAAGATTGCAGAGGAAGGAGGCAATATTGAACTTGTTACAAGACACTAGTTAGTCCTCAGCAGGAATATTGTCTAGAGTCATAGGAATTCAGCACATTTCAGGAAGGATGTAACTGTGTTGGTTCCAGGGATGAGAAACTTCAGGTATGAGGATATATTGAAAAAGTTGTGGCTGTTCTTTTTGGACAGGTGTCTAGGAAATCCGACAGACTGGGCTGGATAGAATAGATATAGAAAAACCATTCCTGCTTTTAGAAGGACACAATTGAGGGGGCATAGAGTTATAGTGACTTGCAAAAGAAGCAAATGTGGTGCAAGAAAAAAAAACAACTTATTACGTAGTTAGTAGCTGGGTATAGAGTATGCTGACTGGAAGTGTGGTGGAGGCAGATTCAATTGAGGTATTCAAGAGGCTTTGGATCGTTATTTGGATAGAAGTAACATGGAAGGCCACAGGGGAAAGAGGCAAGAGCTTACAGTTAAGTAATGCTGCTCACACGAAGAGCTGGTGCAGGAGGCTACATGCAATTAACCTTTAATGCCTAATTTAGTTGCTGAGTGGCACGTTTAAGTGACAGTGCTTCTTTCTCAGAGGACTAGTGTTCACAGTTCCTGAATGGTCTTTCACATTCAAACCTCTGCAAATTTGAGATCATCCAAAATTCTCCAGTGCATGTCTTATCTCCTTTAAAAGAACTACCATGGCTTTGTGCTGAAAGGCCAGAACACAGCTTTGGCTCTTACACAATCTTTTTATCAAGTAATTTTGTTAGTCTGAATATATTGTGCTACACCAGGGATTGCTATATACTTTGTGCATCTAGCTAAGAGACTGGAATGATACTGACTGAAATATTTAGACAGGAATTACAATGCAGTTTACAAGTAAAATAAATCTTATTTTTAAAATTTAAATAAGTTAAAATGCTGTTTTGGAATTTGATGCTTGGTCTTTCAGAAATCTAAGAATAAACACCGAGGCCATGTCAAAGCTCAAGACTTCTGGATCTCACTCCTTGGTCAGGATTTAAGTTGCTGTGGTTTAGAAAGAGATGGGGAAAAGAATAAACAAATTTATCTCCATTTCACTATCATGACTTTACAAACAATACATGCAGGACAAGCAGGGGAATTTGACAACTTTACATATTCAGACAGGAGAGAAAAACAGGGAGAAGTAACGAAATACTCAGAAGGATGATTTTGACCTTCAACTCATTACTTTTACAGAAAGTACTTTAGAGTGTAGAAAGACCAAGGACCAGAAATTGAGAAAATATAAATCATACGTCTGAATGCAGATAGAGGTATTATGACATACAGGAACTCTTATTGACCTAATTTTCTCCATAGAAAAGTTGAAAGGATTTTGGATTTACACAATCAAAAGAGGGGAGTATGAATTGCAATATGATCAATTTGCAGCAGGTCTCCTGTTTCATCCAGCATATTACACATAATTCTGATACCTTGTGTATCTTGAAAATTTCATTCTACTCAAAATCAGGTGAAATGGAGAGGAAATAAGAAATCTCGGCTATAAAAACAAATGAAGAAACCATGTTCTGTTTACCACTGTGGGTAAAAGGTGGCTGTAACCAAATAGTTAAGGCTCAAGAAAACACTGAAATGTTTTAAAATTCTTTATTTAAATAAAAACTTTTTTACATTTATCAAAGAATACTCCCAGTACATTGTAAAAACAGCAGGCACTAATATTAGGAATCCTGTGAGTTTGTTTGTTCTTCAATGACCTGTTTGACCATTTCTGCAAGTTTCAGGCGATCGACTTTATCATTGAACCGCCGCCCTGAAATAACAAAGAAATATTTTGTTAAGCACACATTCTGCGAAGAGGGAAATGGAGGGGTGTTGTCTTGCTCGTTAACTGCTGTATTACCAGGTAACTGGTTTGTGTTTTGCCGAGAAGACAAATTAAAGGGTCATGTTGGAGATTTGTGTATGCTGGTGTTTTAAAAGGAAAGTAAAGTGAATTGGTCCTCCAGCTTGTGTCTGGGGATTTAATGGAAAAGTAAAGAAATGGCAGATAAATTGAACCTTGCAACTGTCTTCACTAGTGGATGCAAATAACATCCAAGAAATAAACTGTGAACCAGGAAGCGAAAAGGGAGGAACTTAAAATGACTATAATCACCAGGGAAATGAAACTGAGAAAATTATTAGAACTAAAAACTGGAAGTTCTCGAGTCCTGAGGGACCTCATCCTTGGATCTTAAAAGGAGTAGCTATTGAAATAAATACCAAAAGAACTGTGGAGGCTGGAAATCAGAAATAGAAAATAGAAATTGCTGGAAAAAGACTCAGCAGGTCTGGCAACATCTGTGGACAAAGTAGAGTTAAAGTTTTGAGTCCAGTGACTTTCTTCAGAATTGAAGAATTGTTCTGAAGAAGGGTCACTGGACCCGAAACGTTGAGGAGTTACAGTCTCCACAAAAGGATACAGACAGGTTAATTGAGTGTGGGCAAATGTGAATCTGTCCACTTTGACATCAAGATTAGAAAAGCAGAATATTACTTAATGGAGAAAGACTGCATAACACTGAGGCACAGAGGGATCGGACTTTCCTGGTACAAATCTCCCAGGTATACCAAGTGATTAGAAAGGCAAATTTATGTTGTTCATATTTATTCTTATATTCTGTTCCCCTTGCAATAAAAGGTTGCTTTGCTACAATTGTAGTGTGTTGGTTAGACCGTATCTGGTGAAATGTGTACAGTTTTAGTCCCCTCATTTAAAGAAAGGATACAAGTACACTAGAATTGGTTCAAAGAAGTTCACTTGACCTATACCTTATTAAATAACACCCCATCCTAGATAACGATGTACAGACTGGACCTCTTTTCATTGACGTTTAGAAGAAAAGAAAAGAGGTGATTTTATTGAGACATACAAGACCCTGAGAGGACTTAACTGAGTATAAACTAAAAGGATGTTGTTACCCCTTGGGGGAAGAGACTAAAACTAGGGGAAGCATGTTCCAAAGACATTCAACCCTCCAAGAGAAAATATTTCCCCTATGACCCATCTTTAATGAAAGACATCTTTATTTCTAAACTTTGTCCTAGTTTTAGTCAGTTCAACCCTCCAGAGAAAATATTGGAACATTTTAAAGTCAGAGTTAAATTCTTGGTTAATAAAGGGAGATAAAGGTTATCAGGGTTAGCTAGGAATGTGAAGTTGAGTCCTCAATCAGATCACCATGCTGAAGGGGTCAAATTGCCTTCTGCTGCTAATTTGTACGCTGATATTATTGTTTGTAAAACAGAGAGTTTGATAATTAATAGAACTTTAAATTTCTTTGAATTTATTAGCATCATTTTTTGCTGTTATTTAAATACAATTTGAGCAAAATGTGCCTCTGTTGCCTATCTCTAAAGGAAAAAATGGTCCATCTAAAAGCAGAAAATATGATGGGAAAGGCAGAAATGTGGATTGTGAAAGGTTCATCAAGGCTCACACTCCCTGGTAGCTGCAGTGGGAGAGATCAAGGTTAGTACAAATTGAAAGGCTCTGAATCAAAACTAATGGATCAAACATCAGCACTCATGCACAGGAATGTGCTGATGTAGTTAAATTGCTGAGACTGAAATATTTAAAAGGATATGAAATTAATGAGGGATTTCTAAGTACAATGGTAAATAAGTAAATTAATACTAAATATTAGTAAATAATCAAAGGTCAAATTTGCTGAAGATTGTGTAGAACTGCCTGAAACAGCAATGGATACTTAATCATGAAAGTACTATTGTGCAGATGACCATTCAGCCCACTGTATCTGCAGCAGCTCTTTAAAATGAACATCTTGATTTAGCCATTGTTCTGCATTTTCCGCAAACCCTTGCACGTAGGACAATTGTTTAAATATAAACAATGCCTGCTTCAATGGAGTCTGCCTTCAGCTCTTGCAGGCAATTCATTCCAGACTTGAACCATTTGTACAAAGAAGTTTCTCATCACATTTGGATCTTTTGTAAATCACTTTCAATCTGACTCAATTCCTTTGGAAGAAGGAACAGTTTCTCCCCATCTAATCTACCTATTCCCCTAATGATGTTGAAAACTTCTATCCAATCTCCATTTGGCCATCTCTTCAAAGACAACAGTCCCAACCTCTCCAATTTATCATCATAACTGAAATCTCATTCCTAGAACCATTCTTGTAAATATCTTCTGACACTCTCTCCAATGATTTCACATTCTCCCTATTGTGTGGCACCCAGAACTGTAAAGAATGCCCTTGCTGAAGTCTAACAAGAGTCTTACGAGTTCAGCAATACCTTACTCTTACACTCTATGCAACTCCCCCCAGTAATAAAGCCCAGGATACTGTATGCTTCATTGACTGTTTTCTCCAGCCGTCCTGCCTCCTTCAATAATCTATGCACATACACATCCTCTGCTCCTGAACCCCTTCAGAATTATATTGCTCATTTTATATTATCTATCGATATTCTTCTGACCAAAATGCATCATCTTGCATTTCTCTGCATTAAACATCTATCACCTATCCAGCAACTCCACCAAGTTGTTTATGTCCTTTTGAAGTCATATACACTGTCCTCATCAATGCTTCTATGCTTCATATCATTTCTCGAAATTGACCCCTGCACACCAAGATCTAGATAAGTATTATATGTCTGGTAAAGCAAGGGTCCCAATACCAACCCCTGGAGAACTTTACTACAAACCTTCCTCCAGCCTAAAAAACATTCATTGACCATTACTGCTTTTCTTGACACTCCACGTTGCTACTGTCCCTTCTGTTCCAACATCTGTTGTGTGCTTTATATTGAATGCCATCTGAATGTCTCTACACATCATATCACAACATTACTCTCATCAACCCTTCCTGTTGACTCTTGGAAAAAAAAAAGCCAGCAAGTTGGTTAAACACAATTTCCTCTTTAAAAATGCATGGTAGCTCTTCCTAGATAACCCAGCTTTTGTCATGTGACTACTGAATCAATCCCAAATAATTCTTTCTAGAAGCTTCCCTGCGCTGAAGTTAAATTGATTAGTCTGTCATTGCTGGCTTATCATTACAACCCTTTTGAAGATGGGTGTAATGTTTTCAATTCTCCAATCTTCTAGCACATCCAAGTCTAGAGAAGACAAGAAGATTGTGGCCACTGCCCCTACACTTTCCATTCTCACTTCCATCACAATTATTGGATTTATTTCAACCAGCCTAGGTGCCTGGTCAACTTTAATTATCAATTGTCTATCAATGCTCCTTTCTGATCAATTTTGAATCCTTCTCGTGACAGATTCCTCCTCTGTCACCATGGCCTTGGTTGCATCTACCTCCTTGGGTTGACAGATGCAAAACACTCATTTAATACCTCAGCTGTGTCCCCTCCCTCTATGTGTAATTCTGCTCTTGGTCTGTAATTGGCCCAACTCCACCTTTTACCACCCTTTTACTGTTTATATAGTGACAGAAGACTTTGGGATTCTCCCTTATTGGCTGCTAGTATTTCTCAATTCCACTTTGCTTCTCCTATACATTCTGAAGAGGAGCCATATTGGACTTAATGTTTACTTTTTCTTCTCTCCATTGATGCTGCCAGACCCGCTGAGTTTTTCCAGCATTAACTGTAATTATTTCAGATTTCCAGCATCTGCAGTATTTCACTTTCATCTCCCCTCTGAATTCGTATTCTTTTTGGTTCTCAATTATACTGTCAAACTGATACTTCTTATAGGCATACGTTTTTCCTCTTTATCTTAATTTTGGTCTCATTTCTTATGTAGAGTACTTGATTTGTTTGTATCTTGGCTGTAGCAGAACCATGACCTCTTTGAAGGCAGCTCATTGCTCAGTTAGCTTTTCCTGCAATATTTCAATCCAGTCTATCCTGCCCAGTTCCATTCTTGGGCCATTAAATTCCGCTGTCGTCCAATTCATTTTTCTTACTCTGGATTGACTGTCGCCATTCTCCTCCATTATCCTAAACCTGAAGGTACAAAAGATCACTGTCTCCCAAACGATCCCTACTGGCACTTGTTGCAATTGGCCCAGCTCATTTCTATCCTTCCTTGTAGGACTGGACATGTACTGCTAAAGGAAATTCTTATAAATACAGTCTAAGAACACTTGCCCCTTACGCTACCAATATTGAAGCCCATATTTGGGTAATTAAAGTCTTCATTATAACTACTCAATAATGTTGCGATCTCTCTAATTTCCCTGATTTGTTCCTTGAAATCTTTCCCACTAATTGATCGTCTATAGACTACACCGAGTCATATAATTGTACACATTTTGTTCCTTGACTCTCGCCAAACTATTTATGAACCCTGAGACATCCTATTTCTCCACCATTGCAATGCTTTCCTTAATTAATACAATAACGCTCTTCCCTTCCTTTGTTTTTAATTTTTCTGAACACCTTGTACTAATGAATATCAATGTTAATTCTGTTCTTCCTTAATCAGGTTACTGTTAATCGCCTCATGGCAGTCTGCACCTTCCCAATCTTATTTCCCATACTCCATGCATTCACATACACACACTTCATTACTTTCTCCCTTATTCCAACTCCACTTAACTTTCTATTCTCTATGCTCGTGCTATCTACCTCTCTAAGTATTTTGCAAACCTTGGTATGGCATCTTTGAAGTATGACTTTAAATGTTTCTAGGAAATGGTTTGTACTATTTGTTGGATATAGGCAGCTACCCATGAAAGCATGTCAGTACGAATTGTAGGACTTTAAGTGTTGCATTGCTAGCTTCACTTATAACTATTTCATGTACCTAATCAAATAAGGCCGTTTTGGGTTTTA